CACACCAAGATCCACAGGAGCATGGATTCAGCCTGGTTTCAAACGAGCAGTGCTTGTTTAAATAGCACAACAAGCACTTGCTCCCCTATGCCGAAGCTCTGTAAGCTTCCTTGGAGAATACAAAAGTAACACAAATAATCAAAGCAAATATGAATAGCTGTGTTAAGACTTGCCAAAAACTCTTTATCATACACTTCAGTCAAATGTAATTAAGACTACAATGATGAAAATTAACTTATCTTTTCTGCCATTTTTTTTTTGAGCTTTCAAACAAGTGCACAGAATTCGCCAAATTCACAGATTTTGTCAAGGACAATCATACTTAAATTTGTGTGTTTTTTAAACCAACTATAAATGCCAACTTTTTCTTGGAAGTTAATTTCTTTCATGCCTAAAAGAAATTGCTTGTTTTGTAAGATGTATTTTAGTTTCAGATAACATTTTCTCTAATTTAGGTAACGTTTTTATTAAACACACATGGAAAGTCTTCAGATGAAAAACATCTAGCAAAAGTCCAAAATCATAGTTTAGATGTGATAAAAAGGAACCTGATACTAACTAGAACTTGATGTGCCTATAAAGGAGTTAGAGTCAGGAATTTTTGAAGCAGGATAAAAGTCAAAGCTTGAGTTAGGATCTATCACATAACAAGAATGTTAAGAGGCAGCAGAAATATCCTTAAAGGACAAAACAAAACAACTTCCTTCTCCCCTCAGTACAAGCTTCCCAATAAGTCCTAGCTACTAAAAGCTGTGGGGCAACCCCCTAAACATCCCTGCTTCCAACTTCTAAAGACCTTTAAAATAATATAATTTTCTCAGATTCTCTAACCCATCACTTAGTTTAGTTTTAGTCAAAACTAAAGCCAAAATCAAGTGTGACCCAAATTGTTCCTACAAATAACCTATAAAGTGGAGTATACAAGGTTTTATATCTATAAAGCCACACTTTAGTAAGTATAATGCAGTATGTAATAAAGTACATGCAAAGTAAATCACAGTATTTTTACTGCATTGCTAGAGATATAACATACACAAAGCTGAATGTGCAAAAGTTAAAAGCATATATGATTTGACTCCACTATGAAGAATGATCTCAGAATTAAATTTTAACAAGTAATAGATATCACAATAAAATGAAATAGATAAGGGTTTTCAAGGCTAAAGCAGAAAACTCATCAATTACTCTGAGTATCTTTCTGCATGAAAATAGAAGCTGACTGCCCGCAATTCCAGATCCTTCATCCTATGTATTAGATATTTAAACACTGAATTTTAGAAGCAGCGAACAACTAGAACTGACAACAAAGCAATAAATCCATAATAGAACCTCTCTGTTCTTCTCATAAGCAGGATTCAGTTGGTTAAAAGATGGCTTTAGGGAGAACTGACAAAGAGAACAAGGGAAATGAGCAACTTGTCTGTGGTTCATGAATTACACTCATGTGTTTCCCTGAAAGAAAACAGTCATTCCACTAATAGGTGCCATTCTTCTAGTCCATCGCAAAACAAAACATAATTGACAAAACCTGAGGCAATAAGCAGGCCTTGGTTTTTATTTTGTTCTGTAAGTAAACACTCTTCTTTGAACTGTTTCATCCATGTGTGCATGTCAGTGTTTCCCTCCCCCCTCATACTGGAACTGAAGCTTATGTCCTGGCTACATTTCTGGGAATTATTATTCAATGCAAGTAAAAGCATGCAGGCAAACATTAGGCCACTTCTTTGTTCTGTGTGAAATTCATTCCACTCAAGCCAGACTGAATCCTTACTGTACTTCAAATTTCAGTAACCAACAACCAATGTGAAGAGCACCCTTTCTTTCAGCTGAGAAATCTGCAAGGATCTCACAAAAGCTTAAGTACACAACACCAAAGATCTACCAATTCAATCCAAATTCTACATTTCCCTGATGAAACTACCACTTAAACAAGTTTGCTTACCAAAATAAATAATAAAAATAATATTACTAATAGCTATTATTGATTTAGCTCTTATTATGCTATGTGTTCACCATGGGCCAACTGCTTCCTAGACATTTCATCTGTACCCAATCACTCAAGGAGGTGGGTAATCTATACCAGTAAAGCTCATAGAGAAATCTATCTAACAGCACAAGAAAGGGTAAAGCAAGGATTAAAATTCAGGTCTCACTCCAAAATCTATGTTTTGATCCACTCTACTACTGCACCTCCTTGATAAAATGTGATTCATATTAAAGGTGAGGTCTCGAACAAAGGTGAATAGAGACATCCCAGTTCATCATGGCTACATTAAAGTCACTATTTTCTAAGAAAAACAACAGACAAATATATTAGAAAAGGATCTGCATGGAGCTTGCTCAAGAAATTCCATGACCGGCTAGGTGCCTGTGGCTCAAGTGGCTAAGGTGCCAGCCACATACACCTGAGCTGGCGGGTTCGAATCCAGCCCGGGCCCGCCAAGCAACAATGATGGCTGCAACCAAAAAATAGCCAGGCATTGTGGTGGGCACCCCTAGTCCCAGCTACTTGGGAGGCAGAGGCAGGACTCGCTTGAGTCCAGGAGTTGGAGGTTGCTGTGAGCTATGATGCCACAGCACTCTACCCAGGGTGACAGCTTGAGGCTCTGTGTCAAAAAAAAAAAAAAAAAGAAATTCCATGACCAATGATATCCTACATCTTACATGAGGCCGGATTCGATCGTGGAGGAGAGACATTGGTAACTTGCTTTGTTTCATGACCACTTTGTATGGATCCTTCATGACTGCATCCATTTCCTCTTGAAATTTTTGTAATGACGACTGCTTAACCACACGTGTGTTTCCTGTTTTACAAATAAAGAATGTTACTATTTAGTAAATACTGCCGCTGACAAAATGAAAGACAAGATTTTTTTTTTTT